TTAGCGCGGTGCAACCAACGCCTCCATGACTGCCAGCTCTTCCTTCGCTGTGGGTCGGGGTGGTAGGATTCTGTAGATCCGTAGGTTCACGGAGTCTATGAGGTGGCATTTGGGATCCCGCGATGGTGAGAATGATCACTATTGGAAAAGTGCTACAAATATTGCACAGCAAGTCTGAAAGTCCAGAATACGAACATTGCGAAGGAAGTGCTTCAAAGTGGTGTCTCGCAGTTCTTGTCAAGTGCGGTGCATGGCCAGACTCATACGAAGCTTAATTGGTGGCATAGCCGTCCAATCAGTGAAACTACACATACTCCAGCTTCGAGGTCAATGGCACGTGCAGGATCATTTGCCGGAGAGAGCTCTAATTGACTAACGCCAACAAAGAAGGAACTCCTAAGCGAGACCCGAGGCAAATGTTTGCTTGGCACACGCCTCCCAAAACCACACTCGCAGTCTAAACCAAACTGGCAAACCCATTCTTACGGTACATTTCGGCTATACGCTATCTCAGGCTGTGAAAAGCCCGTCTTATTCAAGTGCACACCAGCCACAGGCCTGCGCCACCACGGCTTTCGCCCTTGTGACGATTCCGCTTCCATTTGCGTCCTCGGAATGAGGCCCTATGACGAGCGGTGAACTGAATAGTGTCTAGTGCCACCATCCTCTTCGCAAGAAGCGCAAGCACACAGAAGATCACCTGCCAAACCTCCCGATCACACTCGCCAACCGACCAAGCAAGCAATGCACGATTCACCAACAAGCCAGGCAGAAACAGACCATCAACAACATCTTTCCTAAGCCAAACAACTGTTTCATCCTTCCAGTGGATCTGAAACATCCATACATGCACCAAATGAAATCTGAATATGGGCTCCATGACAACTCCGAAACTCTTACTCCCACCACTAACTTCCCGAAACCTAGAACCCAAACGGACTTTCAACCTGCAACCCACCCCTAGCCCCGAGGACTTCAGCCCTAATAGACCCCTATGTTAGCCCTGACTCAAACGAACGTCGACCGTCCATCGTCTGATACTCAAAGCCGACAAAGTCTCGGACATATGCATAGGAAAGATCAGACTTAATTAATGCTTCACTCATGTTGCATCTACCATAAAAACCCTGAATCTAGGATACAGGCTTTTAGGTAACGACTGGGCGTATTGAACTACGATAATGACAAGGGGCCCTAAGGAATAGTATGAATAACTGTTCAGGCATCTACATATACCAGGCCCTACATGCGAAAACCCTAAACCCGGAATTGAAACAAGTCAAGCCGCTATGTTAAAGGCCACAGTTTCTTTGGCGGTGGCGCGTCCGTGGCAGTGGCCTCGCCAAACTCGGTAGATTTGGGGTTTGAGTTCGTTGTGCTTATGACTTCAATATCTTGATGTTTATGCTATGAGTTTGCTCGATTTATCGTTTGAGGTGCTTGGGTATTATATTTGGCATTTCTTGGGCTTCTGGTTTGGGGTGAAGGGCTCCGGGCTTTAACTTTTGGTAAGTTCAGGATCTAAGTTTACAGGTTTTGAAAGCTGCTATGCTTTAACGCTCAGAAACTTCAATTCTTAATGCTCCAGTGCGGTGAAGACTTCTGCAGGAGGTGAACCGCGAAACAAATGCGTGCCAACGGCATCCTTGCCTGTCAGGTTTCAAGTCAGACAGCAGAGGTTTAAGGTCGGATGGTATTGCAGATGGGAACTTTAACGCCTGTCGGAAAGACAAGTACAATCATGTTCATAGGGCGGCGATTTGGGGCCTGCCACACCGGATTCAACGCGGGAGGGGTTGAGTGGGTGGTCAGAGGGTGTAGCACAGTTGCCAGCGGTGCAACACGCCTGCTCCGAGGGTGCCGTGAGATGGTCCAGCTGCTTCAAGCACACGTCGCCCAGGATCGTGCTACTCGCCTGCCGAGGCGCATCGCAATGTAATGAGGAAATTTTGCTGGTATACACGGAAACTCCACGCTGGCCGTGGTTGAAGAGCTGACCTGCCTGCAGCATGTCTTCGACGCGGCATGCCTCTCGCAACGAGGGACACACTGCGATGCCAAGAGGGCGAGTAGCCACTCGAAGCAAAGCTAAGCATGCCTTGATGTTCTGAGGAAGTGTCACCAATTCAGTTCAGGGATCAGGGAGAGCCACACTACCAAGAGTTCCATGCAATCACTTCAGCGACGCTCGTTGTTTCGAGCCCCCAGCCCTGGTCCACTGCAAACCACTCTTAATACTACCGAGGGCCGCATCCCGGACTAAAAGAAAACCCCCCGAACGTCATTATCATCATCATCATCACCATGTCATGTTTATGGTGGACGCCCGCTGCACGAGCGCACACAGTCCTCTTTTGCTGCACATCTGCTCTTGGAGGCAGACTTCAGCAGCAGCTGCAGTCGGTGAGAAGCTTAACATCAGTCTCCCACTTCGAGGCGGTCTTCGCATAAAGCCGCAGCTGCTGGCGTACTGCCGCATAGGTTCGCAAGGGGTCATCATCAGCAAGCCAGAGCAGCCTCAACCGCCAGATCACTGGCTGTTTGGGAAAGTCTTCGTCCATCAGCAGTTCGACAAGAAGGGACACCCACCTCTGACGCTGAGGCTTGCTCAGCACCCGCAGTACAAGCCCAAGAATCGTGCCACAAAAAAGTAGTTTGTCCTTGTTGATGGAAATGCTGGACTCCACAAGTTCTTCCGTCATGCCGAGCATGGTTTCTGCAATAGGTCCCTGCACAAAAGGGAGGGCCTCAACAGCATGGTTCATTACAAGGAGCATGGCGGCATCAGCAACGGCCACATCCGAACTCCGGCAGTGCCGAAGCAGACTTCGGAGGTTCTTGCGAACAATGCGCTTAGCGTGGCTTTCCGCGAAATTCGTTTTTCTCTTGGATGCCAGGGCCGTAGACCACCACCGACCTCAGAATGAAGCAGATGCGTCTAAGGTCTCCACCTGCACTGCCAGTAAGACGGATGTGCTGGCTGCATGTAGCTGTGAATCATGTTCAACAAGTCAAGAGGCACTCGTACATCTTCTGCTGCTCCGCATCGCCCTGGAAGACATCGGCGAAGAGTGTATCCGGGTTACTTCCGACCAGATCCATCTGCTCCACGAAAGCGACAATCTGTTCTGGCCTGCACAAGTGTACAGCGTCACTCGGTGACTGATAAAACTGCCTAGCCTATCTCCGTGACTTGCTTGATTCAACATGCCGGTGCAATGAAGGTGGGAATGATACGACCTGCTGTGCATGACTGTGGGTCTGAAAACATGTCCATGTGCTGCATGTGCTGCATTGATCTGCATTGCGCAGCTTGCTTACTCTGCAGCAGCAGCAGCAAAGGCATGACGAACACCGCTTGCTTTTCGTATTGTAGACAGGACGATCGATCGACGGTTCTTCCTCAAAAATCACGGACCATCCGTCCATCCATTTTTGCTGAAAGAACGGGAGCAAATCCGAGTGTGACGTGCAATTATCGCAACATGCAAGAAGGATGTCGACAAACCGCTCGATGTTGACGCTACTTCGCAAAACCGTTTCCGAGCCTGTCCATGCTGCCCACCTCAGCCACGTGCGCTGTCAAGGCCTGCGTGGCACGTTTATCGTCTTCAAGCAGAGGTCTCCAAGAAAGGAGCACGCAGAGGGAGGCGTCAGACCGCAGCCCTTGCTTGCACCTTCGCGTAAGCCGCGAGAGTACGCGCCCGTTGCGCAGCTCCTGCACCTGTAGCGGGAAGAGATGCGCAAAGGATCCGCCGACAACACCTCTTGCAACGTCTTGTCGACACCCCTGCACTGGCCACTTCGCAGCCAAGCCGCGCTCAAGAACGGCAACAGATTTGTCCTGAGGCTTCTGCGGACGAGATCTTGCACAGCATGTCTGCGAATCCGCCGAAAGCAAACGAAAGTCGATGCAAGCACGCAGTTCACATGCGGCCCAGGCACATGAGGAGGTCGTGAGGGGCGAATTCCTCCCCGGACCACTCTTCGTCGATGTCTGAATCGCTGCTGTTGCCGTCGGGCAGTCTCGTGCTGGCTTCACTGTCGCCGCCGCCGCTTTTTCTGCCCGAGCGGGTCCTCGGCTCGCCGACACCAGAATCACTAGAAGACAAAGTGATGAGCGTCCGCAAGGCAGGTGCTGCCAGCACAGCTCAGTGGCTCAGTGTCCGACTGAGGGTTCGGTTCCTGGCTCCTCGGCAGCAGAGTGCTGCGAGCATCCCTCAGAAAAGCTGGAAAGAAGGATTGCGGCCCAAGGCGCTCTGTGGTGCCCGCACGGGGTGTCGATGCAGCGACGGGGCAGCCGTCATGCCTGTGGAAGCTTTCTTCACCAAGGCCCTGAGAAGTTCGAGGTGCCCACTGCAAGCGAGGCACAGATCGCCGCTGTCTGCGCTCTGCTCTCGAGTGATCGAAAGCCACAACGATGGCTCCTACGATGCTGTGCAGAAGTTAGCGTTTAGCGACTCGGTCTCCTGGCTTGAACAGGTCGGCACCTTTTGCAAAGTTCCATCATGTTCCATGGTTGCCCGGTTGCCCATGTTGAATCAACGATTCAAGCTCCCAGACTGACAAGCATTGACCTCATCTGCCTGGGAGAAAACACTGCATGCTCCCCAGAGTCTGGCCTGGGCAGCACAGTTCTCTGCCAGGGGCCGCTCCGCGTTGCAGTGCCTGGGCTCGTGCTAGTGCTGCAGGTGCTTGCTGGCCAACATGCCAGCGCAGTTGGCAAGCATGGGGGATGTCGTGCAGCCGGCATACTGAGTCTCGTGGAGACTGCGCTCGAGTTCGGAGATCTTCGTGTTCCGTCTCGACAACCTGCAAGCACTTCATCTCTGACTCCCTCGCTCGCTCTCACTGTCTACTCCTGCTTCTCAGGCCCTCGCTGCTTCTTGAGGTTCCGGATCTGCCTGATCTGGCACGACATCTTCCGTGATTCAAATTCAGCTCTCCCTTTGCGCTTGGGGGTGAGGTTCCGCATGATAGACAGGCGAGCGAGCTGCCGGGATGAAGCATCGTGGGCCACATCCAACTGCTCCGAGAGTTCCTCGACGAGCATCCGCACGAAGACGAGGTGAACGCTGTCGGGCCAGTTCCTCGGACAGAGCCGCCAGAGCCGAGCCTTGCAGAGTACCGCTCATGTTGTGCGCCAAGACACGCCCACGTCTCCAGCTGCTGCCGGACCCAGCGGCGATGGCGTGTCATCGGCGGCGGCATTTAGCTTAGAGAGCAGTTTCTGACATGAGATATGCTTCGTTACGGTTGCATTTGGTCGTACGCCTCCTAGTCCTTCATTGCTGCGCTGCAGTCTCTCTCGGTTGACAGGACATCTGCAGAAGTAGTCAGTCTCAGGCGAGTGCACTGCACGAACGTGTGCAGAAGTGCCAGGCTGAACCAGAGCAACAATGTCAAAGCGAGCGAGCACAGTGCCGTCACCTTCTCAGTAACCAAGCTGTCACAAGAGCTCACGTTGAAGCTGCCCTTTTCTAGCTCCATGTCAGACGCCTCAACTGACAAACATCTCACCGATTGGACTCAGCCTATTGACAGCACGACACCGGCCGGACAGGAAGACGATGGCTCGCACTGCAGTGCCCATGCATTTTCAGCGAGTCATCTTCCAATTTGTGTGGCTGTAGGACGCAGCTGCATCTATCTAGGCCCCCCATTCGAAAGTTGGCGGTAATAAGCCTCGCCCAGATTCAGCTGATGCCTCAAGCCATCTCACGTGAAGATTGCACGATCTGGCGACAGCGGCGCCAGTCAATCAATGCATTCAGAAAGAAACTGAGCTGTGTACCTTGCCCACTCCTCAACAAGCAGAATCAGAAGGCACCAGGCATGCTGAGACCAGCAGCTGCAAAGTAAAATGGCCGGCCTCTTCCCAGCTCCTTGCGAAATGCTTGCAACACACTGACATGAAGGATGAAGGGTTGTGCCCGCTGATTGCCTTGTGCCTGCGCTTCTCGAGACGCGACGAAATTTTCTTGTGTATTACCTGCAGATGACAGGCAGGAATGACCCTGTGACTCATGACCATGCTGATGTCGGCTGCTGGTGGTCAGATCGCCTCGATTTCCCGCTCCAGCACATCACGGAAGAATCGAACCTTGGCAAGCAGCATGTAAAGCGGCGACGACACTGATCAAAGGCCATAGAGCAGAATACTTGCAATGCAGGGCTCAGTCTCTCGCGTCTGCCTCCTCTGAACACCGACCAACAAAGTGAAGTTGCCTGCACCACATTCCAGTTTCATTCATTGGTTCTCTGCGTTTACCTGCACTTCCTCCTTCCCTCCCTCCAGCCCCTTTGCTAGGATGGCAGCAACTTGCCGCGAATGATTCGGCCTGCCGGAAGCTTGCGGAGCTGTGCGATCCTTTCACAGTCTTCCAGACAGAAGTAGGAATCGCAGAGCCAAGCGCAGCCACTCAGAACATGTAAAGCTCCTTGAGTTGAAGGCTGTCGCCCAGGATCCAAAGACCCTGTTGGCAAGCTCGAGCTCTTGCTTGGATGTCGCATGCTCCCAGCGTTCCCAAGCGCCTTCAGCCTTGCTTCGGCCTTCATCTTCTCCAGTCCAGATCCATCAGCCCCGACCTCCGTTTTCTACAGGATGCTTCTCAGATAAAAGCACGTAGAACCACGAGCTGAGCTGCAAGCCAATTCTGACACGAGGTTGAACCTGCACGCTGTCAAAGCAAGCAACTTGGCGGGCAAGCAGCTATCGCTGTGAACGGATTCGGCTGCCACGGTCCGGCTGCACAATCCGCGAGCGCATGCCCATGCAAACAAAGCTTATTGATTGCAAGTTACACCTTGCAACTATTGCGCAAGTTGAGGCCGCTTTGAACAACGAGACACATGACTGCTGCTATCAAAATGCCATCCAAGACACCACGCGCCCCGACACGACCTAGAAACCGTAGAAATGGCCTATTTGCTCGTGGTCGGCAACAAGCCGACAGGCGCCTTATTCGCATGCAAAGTCTCGAAGCCCAGCCAAATGAACCATTCCGATGTAAAAGTATAAATATTTGACTAGACTTGCTTCTTCTCCAAAGCGGACAGTGCCACCTGTAGCAGTTGTTCTTGCGCTGCAGGACACGTTCCGACCTGGCACCGCTTAAACCACCACAGAAAACAACGGCTGTTTATTGCAAACATGCTTGGAGGTCTCAGACCATGTGCCTGCAAGATCCGTGGGATCTGCCTGGCTCCGCTTTGTTCTTGCTCGCTCAACTCGGAAGGTGCAGCACGCCAAGACATCGACTTTGGCGAGTGCAAACTCTAGCATTCGGGCTCGCGGGGACCAACAGGGCTTTTGCAGTCAATGAGCATGCGGTCGTGCGTGTAAGTGGGGCGGAGCATTCATGCTTGCTGGAGCCGAATACAATCTAAAAGAACCCCCTGCAGAAGGTAAAGCCGGTCTTCAGTGGATTGTTGCCACCGACATCACGGTGCCATCATGGGATGACTGTCCGAGAACTGACTAACTTATGGAAGATATGGAAGTAACTCTCGTCATGCAGCAAGCATGCAGATTCCACATCCAAGCAGCAGACGGCCGATGTCTTTGCTGCTGGGAAAAGAAATCTATCATAATGTCACGTTCTTCAAAACTCGAATGGCTTGGCAAGCGTGGGCCATTCTCAAACCGGCATTGCATCTGCCCGTCGTCTGCGTTGTAAAGAAGGCGACCCCATTCGAAGCGCAGAGCCGCGACTCAATGTTTCGTAGGGAAACATATCATATCCGTACAACGGGGAGCGGTGTGCACAGTGCCAGCCTCCTCAGGGTCCGCAGGTGTCAGCGCTTCGATGCACCGGAGAGCATCACGATGGTGCTTGAACCGCACGTACCTGCTGCCATACATCCAGTCCACAGCTGCAAATCATGCAGTTGTGACCCTATTCTTGCATCATGTGGCTTCAGCTAGCAAGCTACGGGCCATACAAGCTGTTCACACCCTCATAGCATTGGCTATGCAATTGAATCCTGTCTTTGCGCTGGTGGCTGACATTTGGAATTTCAAGCTGAGTGTTGGCATGTTGCATTTTGCTCATGTCAATCAATGGTTACTTAGTCAGCATTTTGGTTTCGCCGGGTGGCAT